TCCTTATCTGCTTAGTATCTCTGCATAAGGAAGTGGCACATCTGGTCCTGGCTCACCCTACTCCTGAGAGTGGAGATATTTATAAACCAGATTAAGGTATTAAGTCTGCAACCTGAGCCATCCCTGGGCCTTGACTTCTGCTACCTCACCTCCTAATGGAAACTCTGTCATACAAAGCTCTTAGGAAGCCCCCAGGACTAGAGTGGCTGTGAATGGGGCCACTTTCCCAGTGACCACAGAGAACCAAGGGCCAGGAGATGATGCCACCTCAGCCACTTCCTTCAATAGGAATGGAAGAGGCGCAGACACCAGGCAGACTACTTGGAGTTTTTATAATAAACTTCAAAACTGAACTATCATTTAATGTCTCTGAGAATAAAAGCAAACCAAACGTCCCTTCCCACTTGCATTTCCAACATGAGGACATCTTACTCTGTGTTCCTACAGATGGCTCTACCAGGACCATCCTTGACCAGGAAGGCAGCACCTGGAGAAGCAGCACCATGGCAGATACAGCAGTGGCCTCATTGTGTCTTTCGGATGGGTAAGTCAGCAGCACACAGATGGGAGACTGAGGGCACAGCCACGGGTCTCCTTCACTGCTGGGGCTGGAGGTCCTTATCACCTGGCTGGGACAGGACCAGGTATGGAGTGAGCCCAGGGTGGCTGTAGTGTGGCCATGGGGAGGCCATGGTAGGTAGAGTCAGGCTGGAGCAGAGGAACAAGAAACCCAAGTGGCCTTGGGGACGGAATGGTGAGGCCTGGTCCAGCATCTCAGCCCTCTGGGATGAAGGGCCGAATCAGCTCCGGATTCAACAGCGACTCCTCGAGGGGCCGGTCCACGTGGAAGTCATGAACGTGGGGGGGCCCTGGGTGGGCCTTGGGGGCCGGTCCCCCTGGACGATGGGGAATCGGTAGCTCCGAAGGGTGGGCAGGCAGGGGAGCCGTGAAGAAGTACTGGTGCAGGAGGGCCTGAGGGTGGCAAGCAAAGGACAGCAGAAGGAAACCAGTCACCTATGGGTCCCAGCCTTAACTTGCTTCCTTGAGGGGGAGACTGCTTATCTGCTTATCAGCTCAGCTGACTCACATCTCGGAGTGCTTACTGTCTGAGCACTACTCCAGAGGCTGGGGATGCGGTAGATGTATCTGGGATTGGGGGGGCAATAAGCGAGATTAAAAAGTAAGATAGTATGTCGGATGACTAGTGCTGGAGAGGCGGCAGACCTAAAGATTTGTGAGAGGAGATTCCCTGGGAGGTGGCACTTGAGCAGAGGCAGGAGAAGTGAGTCAGCGAGGCCCAGGGACAGAAGTGCACAGACTCTAGGACATGGAGGGGACCCTGGGTCCACATGTTCACTCTGGGCCAGGGCCCAAGACAGTGCCCAACATGTGCCAATGCTAAGTACCTGCTGAAGGAATGAAGGGATGAAGGTGCGAGTCACCAGTAACCACAGGTGTGCTCTTCTGTGAGATGGGCATGCCTTTCTAATGGGCCACCCCTTCCTGCCCGCAGCCCCTCTGGGGCCTGCTCAAGGAAGGTATACTGGCTCCTCATCCCCCATCACAGGTTCTAAGAGATCTTGACCTCCTGGGTCACATGGTCACGAGTAAGGAGGATCAGGGCAATGGGGGTCACTCTACCTGGGAGGCCGAAATGCGCTGGCGTGGAGGGTAGAGAAGGAACTGCCCCAGCAGGTCCAAGGCCTGGGGAGAGGCATCAGGCAGCACCTCCCCCAGGGGCACAGGTGCTTGCTCCTTGAAGGAGATCTTGTTGTAGTCCGGCAGCTCCATGATCTCCTGAGGAAAAGGGGGCGCCTCAGGGCCAGCACTGCTTGCCAGTTCCCTCTGTAGTTAGTCCTCGTTCCCTGTCGCCAACCTGCTCACACTTATTAGCTGCTCCCCCCACCCATGTGCCCCACTCTCACCCCATCACTTATATCTTCACATACTCACTCAGTGCTTCAGTCCTTCATGCCACTACCCTCAGCACCTGCTCCACCCCCAGCTTGGTGAGAACTGCAGTGTGCTAGGGGTGGATAGGAAGGGACAGGTCCTTCTGCCTGCAACATGGTAAGGAGGGAGGAGCCCTTAAGCTGGGCCAGTGGTCTGGGATTTCAAGAAGACATGGGACCATGAGAGAGAAGGTGCAAAAAAGGGGAGTCATCAGCTGTTGAGGGAAACAGAGGACACCTGCCCCCAGCCCTCCCCACCATAGGGCCCTGCAAACCGGCCAGACTTGAGGGCTGGGAGTGCCTAAGATGCGAAGCACACAGCAAAGCTGTTCGATGTCGTTCTCCCCTGGGAACAGCGGGGACCCATTCAACAGCTCCCCTAGGATACAGCCCACGGCCCTGCAGATACAGAACCCAAATAGCTCAGAGACTGCACACCATGGACACAGATATCCCCACACCAGCTCCATTGCCTCACACCACGGACACCTTATATGTGTCCAGTTTACTCATACCAGCTCCATCACTCCCTGCCAGGACACAGATCTCCTCACACAAGCTCCCACCACTCACACTGGAGTCAAGGTACCCATAAAGTAGCCTAGAGGCTTCACGAACAATAATACAGATCACCAATCAAAATCCTCAAGCCTAGAACACAGAGCATATCCCCCTTTCCAAGAATCTCTCAAGCCTCAACTCAGGAACACACAGCAACCCCTCAGCAGTTTTGAGGCTTCTCAAAGTCTCAAACTCTGGGACACACAACCACCTCCTCACATTCAGGGGCAGACCTCCAAAAATCTCAAATTCTTAGGCATGTACGAACCAACCTACCCAAATAAAGGTTTAGAGCCTTCATATCCAGGAACCTGAGACAATGGGTAGCTCAGAGACATTATATCCTGAATTATGACCCCTGTAGCAGCTTAGACACTCCACACCTCAGACCACCTTCCCACCCCAGCCCAGAACCTCCTCACTTGAGACAACCACTCTGATCCCACCCAAATCTCATGGAGAGGAACACTGATCCCAAACTCCTCAGAGATACCCTAACTAGGGAAGACACCCCAACTAGGGAAGATACTCCAAGGCAACCTAGAATTCGCATCAGGAAAACACCCCCAAAAGACTTTTAGACCTCAATACCCAGGAGGAAAAGGTGACCCCATGACCCACATTCCCCTTTGCCCAGCCTACAGGAGTCTCACCACAGGTCCACGCCCTGGTCATACTGGCGGGCACCGTACAGGAGCTCGGGGGCTCGGTACCACCTATGAAAGGAGGGCAGGCAGTCACACCAAGGTCACCAACAGCAGGCTGCCCTAGAAGGTCACCCCGGCCTCCATACTAGCTTCATGAGCGATGTCTGGACAGAAAATCCATTAGCATCTCTTCCCCAATGGGAAGGTTGGACCCATCCACTGCCAGGTCCTGCCTGGGAATTGGCCCTCCCTACCTGGTGGCCACCTGGTGCGTGTAGAGGCGGCTGCCATCTGGAGAAAAGACCCGGGCCAGGCCAAAGTCTGCTATCTTGAGCTGGCCCGAGGCACTGATGAGCAGGTTGGCTGGTTTCAGGTCCTAAGGGCACCAAAGGAGGCATCAGTTCCTCCAGTGCCCCAGAAGACCTTGGGAGAGAAGCGCTTGGAAGGCTGAGCAGCTAGATCAGCCCAGGTCTCCACCCTGTGCAAGACCAGCCCCTGGCCCTGACCCATATAGGCCCTGCCGCTCTGACCATGTCTTCTTCAATGGCTGGCCCACTCCCAGCCCAGTTGTCCCCCAGACCCTGCTCTGCCCATGCTGTGACTGACCCGATGCACGATGTTGTTGGCATGGCAGAAGGCGACGCCTTTAAGCAGCATCTGCAGGTAGCTCTTGACTTGTGCTTGGGCCAGTGGCCTCTGGGCGTGGCGCACCACCTCAGCCAGATCTGACAGCATAAACTCGAAGGCCAGCACGAAGCCTGCCCCATGTGGGAACACAGCCTTCAGCTGCACCACCTGTAGGCAGGGCCTCCTGTCAGCCCCCAGACTCATATGGCTCAGACTCTCTCTGAGCCCCCAGCCCTTGTTCCAGCACAGGATAAGGCAGACAGAGGAGATGACATGAGATTGGAGCTCAGAACCAAGGAGTTGGGTGGGATCTTATTGCTCCCCTCTTCTGCGAGAAGGCAGGACCCCACTCTAACACTCCACTCACACTCAGGGAAAAAGAGGTCTAAAGAAGGCCTCTTAGGGCAGTGTCTGGTCTCCCACCTAGCCCACAAACTAGAAAATCACCTGAAAATAGACACGCACACACACACACACACAAGCATTAAACCTCCTCCCCTTTCCTCTAGAGTCATTAAGTTGCAGCATGGAGAGAAGACAAGGGAGATCACAACTCCCCAGCACTGGGGCAGGTGGAGACATGTCACATGTACTTTCTGAGGGCCCACAGAATCACAAAAGTTGGGCTGCACAGCAGTGAGCAAGAGCAGGGGCTGGTGGGTCTTGAAGGACTTTAAGGAGCTCACAGCACAGGGGGACAGACTACTGACAAATGAGTGAACGAACCTACAGGATACATCCAGGTTCTAATGAGGATAGAAAAGAACAGATGGGATGGGGTCAGCAGGGAGCTAGGAAGGAGCTCTGAGCAGGGGGATAGAAAGCACAAGACCCTGAGGACAAGAGAAAGAACCATGAAAAGAATGAGGCTGGAATGTAAGGTGTCCTTCCTCACGGGCCCACAGCCTCTCCCAATTCTATCACAGGACAAACCACACCAGCTGGATCCTGTAGCTTCTGTCCATCTCCCCTACCACACTTAAGTTCTGAAGAGCCAGGTGAGGGCCAGTTTCTCTCCCTGTTGCCAGAGCCCAACACAGGGTAGGGCTTACAGGAGGCCCTAAGGTTAAAACATCCTCACTCTTCAATCAGACCTTAGCCAAGGCCTCCATGGACAAGCTGAGTACCATGAGGTGGTGGCTGAGCCTGCTCACCTGTTTTGCAGAGTAGCAGAAAAAACTCAGGACAATGTACGTAAAGCAGTTAACCCAGCCTGCAGAACATATCAGCTCAATAGGTGGCAGTTATTGTTACCAATAAAAATCACTGAACATTTTGAGAAATAAGGCATAAGTTACTGAATGAATTAAATGAATGAATGAGTACAGGAAGAAGTGGGTGAACAAGAAGAGTGAATGAATGAGAAATGAAGTAACTGGGTAAGAATGAATATGTAGATAAGAACGGGAGTAAGTGAGGGGTGAGGAAGGAGATAAGGGAGCAGAGTGGGTGTGGGCTCCCCAGAGTGGAAGTGAGTGAAGGAGGGCAGGACAAGGCATCTCAGAACCCTAGCCCCACTTACATACTGATTGTCCTCGATCTCCTGCAGGGCCTTGATCTCTCGCAGGGCCTGGTTGGGGATGCCATCCTCCAGCCGCCGCAGAGCCACCTTCTTGAGAGCAACGATCTCTCCAGTCTGTGAGGGGCAGTACACAGACACTGCTACCCTATCCCTGGCTGGGAAAGGGGACGACAGGACAAGAAAAGTGCCATCTGGGTGGGACGCAGAAGCCTGAGGCCCTCGTGGGGGCGGAAAGCATCCCTCAGCCCCGTTCTGGAGGGAAATCAAGGCCAACAGTTGCACCGCCGGGAAAATAGCTCAGAAGCATCCAAGCCACGCCCCTAGGGGCATTTCTGGTGGTAGGCAGCTGGCCGCAACCTGGACGCCCTCCACCTCATCCCTTAAAGGGTAAAAGTGAAAACGGGTACATCTCATAGACAGAAATGAATAGAACCCAAAGGAGGAAGACCCAGGCGGCCCTCGCGGACCCCGCTCACCTCCACGTGCTTGGCCTTGAAGACGATGCCATGTGCACCCTCTCCGATGCGGCCTAGGATGCAGTACTGGTCCATTGCCCACCCCGCCTCCCGCGCCTAGACGCGGCTGCCTAGCAACAAGGCGGCCTCCGAGAGCCGATACTGGGTCGCAAAGTATAGCTGGGGACGGCGTGCGGGCTTCGTCGGCACCTCCCCTTAGGTCCCCGCCACCACTATGCAGGGGGCTTCATTTGGCTGAAGTCGTCTGTGAGCAAAAAACGACAGCCCAGCCAGGAGCAATGGCAGTCACTGAACCTTCTGGGCACCGCCCCGACGTCACATAACGAGCTACGTAGCGGGGCGGGGCTGCGCAGCCAGGGGCGGGGCCGGGCGGCCGGGAGGGCGTCCAAGGTGACGCGAGCGGAGCCGGCTCTTCCGTGGCGAGACCAACCTCCCCAGCCATACCATCAAAGGTTGTTGACAACACAAGTAACTCTTAAATGTCTGAAAAGATGCTCAATTTCACGCACAGGATAAATATGAAATAATGTACAATTTTTCAGATGGCGAAAGGTTCCAAATCTAACACCGTTGGCCAAGCAATAGGAAAACAGGAGCTTTCATAAACTGCTAGTGAGAGTGTAATTTGGCAATGCTGATCAATTGCAAATGCATATCCCCTTAGACTCAGCAATCCCATTTCTAGAAATTCCCCTAACGGATATATTGTACATATGCGAAACGATAGGTGCAAAATTATTAACTGAAACATTGTTTAAATAGCAAAATACTGGAAACGCCACAGATGTCTATCATTAGAAGTCTGACTAAATTGTGATACCTCTATCAAATGAAATACTAAGCAGCCTTAAAAATGAGCGAAGACACTTTTATGTATAGTAATAGGAATACTTCTAAGATATAATGTTAAGTTAAAAAGGCATGATGCAGAACAGAACATATAAAAGTGCCACTAGCTGTGGGTAAAGAAAAGGAGAAAAGAATATAAAAAATGCTGTTCGTGTATTACAAGATGTCTGGAAAGATATGCAAGATTTCGTGATTGTGGCTACCTGGTAGATAAGAGACCAGAATTGGGAACAGGGTAAGAGGCCGACTTTGCACTGGGCCACTTTGTATTCTTAGAGTTTTGAACCATATAATTTATTAATTCTTCAAAAAATTAAATATTTTCTGATTCATAAATTCCACTCTTAACAATTGCATAAGAACGCCTGATGTCCATACAAAGATGTTCACCCTGTTTGATGATAGCAGAGGCCAGACAATAACCCAAATATATTTAGGCAACTCTGAGAATCAAATTATGTTCCCTCTCCAGGCTTTGTTGTTGTTGCTTTTTGTTGCTGTTTGTTTGTTTGGTATATCTTCTGACCTAATTGTGAAATGACTGTTTTCTTTAGCTTACGTACCCTCTGAAACCTCTGCTCAGTTAGCTTAGTTGTCAGCTAATAATTGGAGAGAGGTTTCCCAGTCTTTGACGAGGGACTCTGTGTGTGTGTGTGTGTGTGTGTGTGTGTGTGTGTGTGTGTGTGTGTGTGTGTGTGTTTAGGCCCACCTTGAACACTCAGCTGGGCAGTTGACAACTCTGCCTTAGCTTTCAATTCTTGCTGGTGCAGAGCCTCAAGTTCAGCCTTGTCAAGTCTTTCCTGAACACATGCACAGCTCTGGGCATGTACACATCCCTTCACAGGTATGTGACCGTCTAGATTCCCAGCAATATGACAGAGCTTTTCAAAGCCCTATGAGCATCTCATTCCTCAACTTTTCCTTTGAAGCTTCTTGGTCAGCCTATTATTTTCCCCACTGCCATCCTCTCCATCACATAATCACAAAGTTAATCAATTGCCTCTAATATTTTTAACAAATATCCTAGGGTAAAGACTTTGCACTGGGTGAGTTATGAGTCAGCTGAAATAGAGATAGGCTAATGAGTGGGGTGTCTAGACAGGCTAAATAATGACCATGCTCTGGGATGAGATGTGGAAGGATCTCTAATACAGTCACAGAGCATTATGGCCCCTCCATTAGCTGCCACACTCCTCATTTTCACGAAGATCGAGGACTGTTCATTTTAAAGGTTACTATGGGGGTTAGAGAATAGGAACTGGGAATGGAGCAAGTGAAGACATCACAAACATTGCAATTCTTACTGAGATTCCATTGTTTTCCTTGAATAAAGACTCTCTGCATTGCTATACATTTTTGTTTAATCTAGAGTTTTGGAAATGTTGATCCTATCCATTTTTGCCAGTTTTCTTATTGCTTTTATGTTGGAGGGAATTTTCAGAGGTTTAGTCTGCCAAGTTTGCTAATGTTTTCTCTCTCCATTCTACTTTTTAAAAAAATAGTTTTCTTATTTTTCAATATTATTCCAGGTGTACACCAGGTGTACAATGTGGTGATTAGACATTTATATAACTTACAAAGTGATCACTCTACTAAGTCTACTACCCATCTGACATCATACATATTTATTACAATATGATTGACTATATTACTTATGTTATACTTTACATCCCCATGACTATTTTGTAACTACCAACTGTATTCTTTAATACCTTCCCCTTTTTCACCCACTTCCCCAACCCTCCTCCCATCTGACAACCATCAAAATGTTCTCTGTATCAGTTTGTTTCTGTTTTGTTTATTTGTTTTGTTCTTTAGATTCCACATGTAAGTGAAATTTTACAGCATTTAACTTTCTCTGACTTACTTCACTCAGCACAATACACTCTAGGTCTATCCATGTCGTTGCAGATGGCAAGTTTTCATTCTTTTTTATGGCTGAGTAATATTCCATTGTGTATATATACCACCAATTTTTTTATCCGTTCATTCATTAATGGATACCCAGCTTGCTTCCATATCATGACTATTGTAAATAATGCTACAGTGAACATATGGATTCATATGTCCCTTTGAAGTAGTGTTTTGGGTCTGTTTGGATAAATACCCAGAAGTGGGATTACTGGTCCTTCTTTGTCTTTTGTCATAACCTTTGTTTTAACATCTATTTTTTTGGTATAGGTATTGCTACCCTAGCTTTTTTCTTTTCCATTTTCATGAAATACCTTTTTCTAGCCCTTTACTATCATTTTGTGTATGTCTTTCGATCTGAAGTGAGTCTCTTGTAGGCAGCATATGTAAAAGTCTTGTTTTCTTATCCATTCTGCCACCCTATGTCTTTTGATTGGAGAATTTAATTCATTTACATTTAAAGTAATTTTTGATAGATATGTAGTTATTGCATTTTATTATTCATATTTTTAATCTTTTCATCTTCTTCTTCTTCTTGAAGAAGTTCCTTTAATATTTCTTGTAACACTAGTTTGGTGGTGATGAACTCCTTTAGCTTTTTCTTGTCTGGGAAGCCCTTTATCTATCCTTCAATTCTTAACGCTACCTTTGCTGGATAGGGTAATCTTGGTCATATGTCTTTGCTTTGCATCACTTTGAATATTTCATGCCAATCTCTTCTGGCCTGCAAAGCTTCTGTTGAGAAATCAACTGATAGTCTTATGAGACCTTGTAGATAACTAGATACTTTTCTCTTGCTGCTTTTAATATTCTCTCTTTGTCTTTAAACTTTGGCATTTTAATTATGACGTGGATTAGTGTGGGCCTCTTTGGGTTCATCTTGTTTGGGATTCTCTGTGTTTCTTGGGCTTATATGACTATTTTATTGCCAGGTTAAAGAAGTTTCCTGTCATTTTTTTCAGATAGGTTTTCAATTCCTTGCTCTCTCTTCTCTTTCTGGTATTCCTATGATGCAAATGTTGGTATGCTTGATCCTGTCCCAGAGACCCCTTAAACTATCCTCATATTTTTTTCTTTTTTCTTGTTGCTGATTGGGTGTTTTCTGTTACCTTAGCTTCTAAATCACTGATTTGATCCTCTGCTTCATCTAACCTGTTGATTCCTCTAATGTATTCTTCATTTTCGTTATTGTATTCTTCACTTCTGACTGGTTCTTTTTTATATTTTCTATCTCCATTTTTATGTTTTCTATGTCTTTGTTAAAGTTCTCACTGGATTCCTCTACTCTGAACATCCTTATAACCAATGTTTTGAACTTTGCATCTGATATATTGCTCGTCTCCATTTTGTTTATTATTTTTCTGGAGTTTTGTTCTGTTTTTTTTTTTTGTTTTTTTTTTTCACTAGGGACATATTTCTCTGTCTCCCCATTTTGGCTGCCTCCATGTGTTTGTTTCTATGTATCAGGTAGGGCTCCTATGTCTCTTAGTGTTGGTAGAGTCGCCTTATATAGTAAATGTCCTGTGAGGCCCAGTGGCACATTCTTCCCTGGTTGCCTGAGCTGGCTGCTTTAGGTGTGTCCCTTGTATGGTCTGTGTGTGATCCCTGTTGTAGTTGAGCCTTGGTTGCTCTTTGTACATCAGTGGGAGGGATTGACTGTCAGGCGGACTGGTTGTGAGGACTGGCTGGTGGGGGTCTCACATTTTGGAGCAGAATTTGCTTTAGCAGGGCTCTGGTGCCTGCCCAGTCTGCTCTTTGGGTGTGTTGTCCTTGGGTGAACTCCTGGAGGTGCTCTGACTCTGATTCTGAAGCCCACCATCAGGTGAGCCTGCCCCAGAACCTTCAAGGAGGGGCCCTGTCACAGGCCAAATTCAGCCTCAGCCTGTACCCTGCCTGAAGCCACCTGGCAAGAGTCGCCAAGCAATCCTCAGATGGCTGCCACCCACACTGGGCTTGTTGGGACATACTGTGGCCAGATGTTTCTTGTTAGGGTTTCGTAAACCTTTGAGAAATTTTAGGAAAGTCCAGAGCATGAGCCAAGACAGGCCATTTGTATAGAAAAGCCACTGGAATTGGCCTGACCCACCCACAAGTTGGGTGGGTCAGGGTCTCAGGGAACCACCAGGGCAGGGCCACCAGTGTTAGCCAGGTTGCTAAAGACTCAGGTATGGAGTCTGCCTGCATCTACATGCTGAGATGGGGCAGGGCTCAAAAAAGAAATGATGGATTCTGCTAGCACCTCTGTCTGGGAGAAAGCTGCCTCTTGAGCTCTCACCCTGAAACTAGACAACTCAATTTCTTCCTGTATGTCCCTGGCGCTTTTCAAGCTGCTGCCCCAGCGCTGGAACTCAGAGTAAATGGGTCAATCAGCAAGTAAGTCCAGGTGCGGGCTCCTTAAGAGAAATGTCTGTGACTCCAGCCGCCTTCCGTGTCACTCAGCCACAATCTCTGCTGATTTTCACAGCCAGAAGTTGTAGGGACTTCTCTTCTTGGCACTGAAATCCTGAGCTAGGGAACCCCGTGTGGAACTCCTCTGGGGGGACTTCCACAGCC